GTTCTGGGCACGGTGCGGGGGGACGGCAGTGGCTGCTCAGTCCCCAGCCCTGGGGTGGTTGCGGGGCTCAGCGTGGAGGGTTGGGGTGTTGGGGGACGGCTCACCTTGCCTTGTGCGTTAGGAACCTGCTGGAGGAGAACATCTACGTCCTTCTTGAGAGGCTAAAACGTCTCTTTTTAGCTTTCCATCCTCAAAAATGTGTAAATATTTGAAGCTAAGGCCCATCCTGCCGCCCCGGGCTCTCCGCACCCCCAAGGTTTGTTCTCTTCGGATCCTCGGCTTCGCTCGGGCGCAGCGTTCTCCAAACGCACGTTTCCTTCCCCGATGTCCCCCTCAACTGTTTCGCATCTGAATTTTTTATTTTATGCCGCCGCCTTCAAAATACACCGCGGTGAACCTGGCTCTGCTTCTTTGTGGGCGCCCACTTTAAAATTCCGGGGGTGCGGGGTCATGATTTGGTCGCTCACGGTTGGGAGAACTGGGGTGGAGTTGGGGGACTCCCACAGCTTCTCCACCCCACACCTCCAGCCAGGTCTCAGCGCTGTCCCGAGAGGGTACGATGGTCTCAGCCGGCGGAAAGCCGAGCCACGTCGGAGGTTGTGCGGGGTACATGAGGATGCACCTGGGGACGTGGTCCTGGGGAGCCACCTTGCACCCCAGCCAGAAGCTGGAGAACCTGGTGGAGCTGGGGCTGGAGAGCTGGAGCCCCCCGGTCGTGCAGCTGGAGGGGACGTGCCTTCAGGTGGGGTGGCCTTGGGGTGCTCCTGTGCCCGGGGAGGGCTGCGATGGGTCCAAATTCCCATTGATCCCAGCACCACGGCCACGCTGGAGTTGTGGGGTGGTGGGGACAGGCTCTGGGATTTGCCCCAGCCCTGGTGGCTCTGCCCCACAGTGTTCCCCGTGTGGGACCACACACTGGGTCTGCTGTGCTTCCCTCCTCCAGGACATCAGGAGATCCATGAGTCCCATCCTGGACGTCCTCAGCACGGGTGGGCTCCTGGAGAGGTCCAGAAGGAGACCTTTGGGGCACTATGGCCATGGGGATGGTCAAGGGGGTTTGGGGAAGGTGGGATCTGCTGCGTGGGGTGAAAGTCGCCCATCGTGGTGTCCTGGAGCGCTTCACCCCTGTGCTGGCCGAGCTCAGGTTGGGTTCCTGTAAAATCCCCTGGAGCCAGAAGAAAGTGGTAGGAGCAGGGAGGACCGTAGGGCAAGGGGAAGAGGTGGGTCTGGGCCAGGTCCTTCCCCAGGGTGTCGCTGGGAAGAGTCTGGCTGGGTCCAGCTTCTACGTTGGACCCAGCACGTCCACGCTCACCTGGAACTGGGGGGCCCAGAACTGGGCAGAGCTCTCCAGATGTGGTCTCAGCCCTCCACGGGCTCCAGATGTGGGCACCACTCCATGTTCCAGACGTGGGCACCATGCTGCGCTCCAGATGTGGGCACCACGTAACACTCCAGATGTGGGCACCACGCCACGCTCGAGACAAATACCTGGAAGGAGGATTTAGTGAGGTGGGTGTTGGTCTCTTCTCCCAAGAAACAAGTGATAGGACTTGAGGAGGTGGCCTCAAGCTGCATCAAGGGAGGTTTAGGTTGGATATTAGGAAAAATTTCTTTACTGAGACGGTCAGGCCTTGGACCAGGCTGCCCGGGGAGGTGGTGGAGTCCCCATCCCTGGAGAGGTTCCAAAACCGTGTAGACGTGGCACCTGGGGGCACAGTGGGGTTGGGTTGATGATTGGACTTGATGATCTTCAAGGTCTTTGCCAACCTTTTCTGTGATTGGATGACTTTGCAGCTCCTCTGATCACCGTTAATGAGGTGGTAACACCTCATTAAGCACGGTGAGGAGGTGCCCTTGCTCCACCCAGCGTGTGGTTGCCATGATCACAGGAGCTTGAATCCCAGTCCAAAGGCAAACGAGCCATAAATTGGTCCCTGGAGGGACTTGATGAAGGGTCAACAAACACCAGTGGGAGATGACCCTGATGGGTGATGGGGACAGCTCTGGCTCCCCCATCATCCCAAAAACTCGTCCCACCGCCCTGACCTGCTCCTCCTTTTTCTCCAGGGCTCTGCGTGGCGGCTGCTGAGCCAGCGCTGGTCTGTAGGGACCCGAGGACCAGGAGCAGTTGTCCCCGGTCCATGCTGAGTCTCTTTGACAAATCATCTCCCCAAGCTCCCAATGGGTTTCCACCTCCGTTTCCCATTTTTATCCCCATTTTTTCACCCCCAACCCTACAAAGAATGAAACTTCCGGAGAGAGCGACAAGGTCGAGAAGGAGTTTGAGAAGCTGCACAGCTTCTTGAATGGAGAGATGGAGGAGATGCTCCGGCGGAGGCTGAAGTGGGATAAGGAGAACATGGCCACCATGCAGTGATGTCACCCAGACGACCAAGCTCATGGATGAGATCAACGAGAGGCGCCGGCAGCCATCTTTGGGGCTGCTGAAGGTGAGAACCCCCCTTAGATCCACCACACCAGCTTCGGGGAGAGGTTACCGTTACCCTTCGTACGTGCGTCTCCTGCAGCGGCCAGGATCTGCTGCTGGCATCTACGGGAACCACCGACTTCATCTCGTTGTGTTGCCAAGAAGGCCGATGGTCTTCTAGGGTGCATTGAGAAGAGCGTGGCCAGCAGGTCAAGGTTCTCCTACCCCTCTGCCCTGGGGAGGCCCCATCTGCAGTGCTGTGTCCAGTGCTGGGCTCCCCAGTTCAAGAAAGATGAGGAGCTACTGGAGAGAGTCCAGCGGAGGGCTGCGAGGATGATGAGGGGACTGGAGCATCTTTGCTACGAGGAGAGGCTGAGGGAGCTGGGCTTGTTCAGCCTGGAGAAGAGAGAGGACCTTCTAAATATCTGCAGGGTGGGGGTCAGGAGGACGGGGCCAGACTCTTTCCAGTGGTGCCCAGCGACAGGACAAGGGGCAACGGGCACAAACTGGAGCAGAGGAAGCTCCAGCTGAACCCGAGGAAGAACTTCTTCCCCCTGAGGGTGACGGAGCCCTGGCCCAGGCTGCCCAGGGAGGCTGTGGAGTCTCCTTCTCTGGAGATATTCCAGACCAAAGCCGGGGCTCGCTGGCTGTCCGTAACCACCTTTTTTTCCCCCCGTTTTCCTGCAGAGGAGTTGGGGAACGGGGTGTTTATGGTCATGGCTTT